TAGGGCTTTCATAAATGATTGAGAATAAAAGGATCTCAGGACTAACACTAACTTCAGAAGTACATTATAAAGATTCTAGTTTAAACATTCAAACAGAGTAGGCTTATTTTATTGAACTTTTCTGTTACATATTATTTCTCTATACAAAGGAATTATAGATGGGCAAAAAATGACCAACAATAATCTGTTTTTAAATGTGACCCTAAGAGACATTTTAGTCAAGAAACTGTGGTAGCAGCTGCCCTCCTTGGAAATGTTCCCCCAAAATTTCCAATTTTGAAATCCATGACCAAATTGTTCCTTAGTGAATATTTGAGAACTTTCAAGATGGCTCCCTTCTCACTATAAATGAAACACTATAAACTGAAACACTCAGCTAAATGTATTTTGTACTATTATCAACAAAGCTTTCTGTAAGTGTCTCTAGATCAGGAATAAAATTTAATAGTACTCATGAAACTATAATATATATCAAGTAATAAATGAAGCAAAATAAAAATCTAACTCTTGAAATTATAATTGAGTATATCAATAACAATCTAATCAGATTTTTCCCTATATGAAAAATTAAGATAACCATATCCCTAATTAAATTAAAGTTCAATATTTTTTGATCCAGCTAATTCCAAACAAGTATTCTCACTATATAAACTGTATAAGACACAGATAGTAGCCATTCATTTAAGGGTAATTAGTTGATAGTTTAAATTTAACATAAACAATCAGTATTTTTTCATTTCTCTCTTCATTTTCTTGAGGAAATATTTAGCATGCATTCATTTAAGAAATACTTAGTGACAGCTACTAAATGTCAAGCTCTGTTCTAGGCTGTGAAATACAACTTTAAGCTACAGCCTCAGAAGTACCCTAGTAGGAAAAAAACATACAATAAGCAAATAAACAAACATATAATATGTGGAGGTGAGGGATCAGGGAATCAAATATTACTTTCCCTAGGGTAATGTAATTTGGCAAAGTCTCTCAGTAAAATTTGCTATACCACTCTAAGGAGACTTAAAGCTTCTTTTTTTTTTTTTTCCCCACTCAAAGGGGCAGGGGGAGCTTAGTTCAATGGAGAGTGAGGTCCTGGGTTCAATTCCCAACACTGCACAAAAATATATATTTTTTTAATTTTTATAAAAATAAAAAAGATTTGGCCCGGGGTTATGACTCAGAGGTAGCGCGCTCGCCTCACACATGCAAGGCCCTGGGTTCAATCCTCAGCACCACATAAAAATAAATAAATAAAATAAAGTTATTTAAGAATAAATAAATAAATAAAAAGATTCACTGAATTTTTTTTTTTTAAACTTCTCTGTTCTCGTACATTGCTGGTGGGACTGCAAATTGGTACAGCCAATTTGGAAAGCAGTATGGAGATTTCTTGGAAAGCTGGGAATGGAACCACCATTTGACTCAGCTACTCCCCTTCTCGGTCTATTCCCTAAAAACCTGAAAAGAGCATGCTACAGGGACACTGCTACATCGATGTTCATAGCAGCACAATTCACAATAACAAGACTGTGGAACCAACCTAGATGCCCTTCAATAGACGAATGGATAAAAAAAAATGTGGCATTTATACACAATGGAGTATTACTCTGCATTAAAAAATGACAAAATCATAGAATTTGCAGGGAAATGGATGGCATTAGAACAGATTATGCTAAGTGAAGCTAGCCAATCCCTAAAAAACAAATGCCAAATATTTTCTTTGATATAAGGAGAGTAACTAAGAACAGAGTTGGAAGGAAGAGCATGAGAAGAAGATTAACATTAAACAGGGGTGAGAGGTGGGAGGGAAAAGGAAAGAGAAGGGAAATTGCATGGAAATGGAAGGAGACCCTCATGGTTATACAAAATTACATACAAGAGGAAGTGAGGGGAAAGGGGAAAAAAAAACAAGGGGGAGAAATGAATTACAGTAGATGGGGTAGAGAGAGAAGATGGGAGGGGAGGGGATGGGGGATAGTGGAGGATAGGAAAGGCAGCAGAATACAACAGACACTAGTATAGTAATATGTAAAACAGTGGATGTGTAACCAATGTGATGCTGCAATCTGTATACAGGGTAAAAATGGGAGTTCATAACCCACTTGAATCAAAGTGTGAAATATGATATGTCAAGAACTATGTAATGTTTTGAACAACCAACAATAAAAATTAAAAGAAAAAAAAAACTTCTCTGTTCTCCCCATTACCCGCTCTCTTCTCACTATAAATTAAATTACCATGGAACAATTAAAGACAGTAGAGACTCTTCAGTTATAAGAAACTCATTTCAGGGCTTCCATGTTACAGAAACTACTGAGGTGATTTGCCTACAACTGTAAAAACTAATCTAAGTCAAATTTATCTTTTAATTATATCCTTGAACCTTGTCTTCCTCTTAATTTTTCATCCTTTAATCGTATTTGTTTTATTTTGACAAAGACCTCCAGGCTTTCACTTTGATGTCCAAAGTGGCGCAGAGCTAAATTTAGCTCTGATAGATTTCTGAGGGCAGGTTTCTGGTCTGACTCACCACTTTAGCACCAGAACTTATTATCATGTGCCTAGCACAAAGTAGGCATATACATATTTGGTGAAAATATTAATCTATTCAAATCAATTTATAGCATAATTTACAATCAAATCCTTATAAATATTATCCTAAATAGCATATTTTCCTTTCAAAATTTTTCTAGGGTTAATAAAGATTTCCCACAAACATTTTAAAATATGTACATACAAATGACTGCTTCACCTCAAAAGGGCCACCTTTTTCAAAACATTTTTAGGAACATCCTTTAAGAATTTCTTTGAAATCAGTTTACCTACACACAAGAAACTACACTGTTCGTTTGGTAATTGCAAGACTTACTCTCAGTACATTTACTTTTCTTTCACTTCTTTTAGCCTATTCCCTGTGTTCCTTAAACTTACCAATAGCCTAAGACCACCTTCCCTTCCCCCAAAGCTAAGCCACCAAGAACCTAGTAAGTAATGAAGCTAGTTAAAGCCTAGGACTTGAATTCATATTAGTTCAAGGTATATTAAAAAAAAAAAAAAAAAAAAGAACTGATGTTTTAACCACTAATGTTTGTACAGTGATTGATAATTTATAGAGTTATACCCTCCATCTTACTGGATCTTCATAACACTGTGAAAGCAGCTAGGAAGGTGCTATTATCCCAATTATACACAGAAGGAAACTAATGCTTAGAAAGTTCAAAGGATTTCCCCAACATCACATCAAAAATAAGTACATAAAGACTCATACCTTATAATGCTTAACATATAGGTTAATTTATGTGTTGCCTTACTACTGTAATAATATTGTTGATAGAGCTAAGTACGTATCACCAGCTGGGCGTGGGGGTAAATGCCTATAATCCCAGCGGCTCAAGTGGCTGAAGAAGGAGGATTGTGAGTTCAAAGCCAGTCTCAGCAACTTAGCAAGGCATAAGCAACTCAGTGAGACCCTGTCTCTAAATAAAACACAAAATAGGGCTGGGGATATGGCTCAGTTGTTGAGTGCCCCTGAGTTCAATCCCCAGAAATAAATAAATATAGATACAAAAATTATTAAAACTAGTTAGCAATATTCAGCTTAGCTGGTCAAAAGATGCTAAACAATGATGTGTGAAGAATGGCAAACCAGACTCATTCTAAACACTGATGGTCTTCTACTCCCTTTATAAAATTGTTTGCAAACTTTAACATCTTTTGAATGCCACTGAACCTATGGAGTTCTTGTTCTGATTAGTAGTCTTTAAAATGTCATGAATAATAATTAAAGAAATAGTTCATATAGTTTAAGGATTGATTTATCCCAAGAATGTTTCTACCATAAATAATTTCAAAACCCAAGTCATAACGTATGTGTGCACCCGTACATGTTCATGTTTTAAAAGAGCATTAGAAGTTCAAAGATGCTTTCTACATGCACACCTCCTCACTATATCTCAGGATTCCCCCCAAAACAAGAAAGTCTCCATGGTTAAATAAATGCAACATGTTCCAAATTCCATCACCTTCTTTGTGAGAAAAATCACCCATCAAAAGTGATAAGAAGTCTTTTTTTTTTTTTTTGGTGGGGGAGGGGGGTCAGTGATTGAACTCAGGGGCACTTGACCACTGAGCCTTATCCCCACCTCACTGTGCATCTGACTTAGAGACAGGGTGACTGGCTTCTACTGAGGCTGGCTTTGAACTCACAATCCTCCTGCCTCATCCTCCTGAGCTACTGGGATTACAGACTCACACTCTGCAAGAGAAGTCTTAAAGAGAAGAAAACTATTTAATTTTCCTTAGGTAAATATCCTCAGAATTTATGTGAACCACAAAACCTTTTACACCCTAACAACTATTTTAACCTGGGACTGTTTTTAAATTCTTGCCATTCCCATCTGTACCATATCTGTTAACCTTAAAATTGAGAATCAGTGTTATATCTAATAAATTAACAAAAACAATTTTTATTTAACATCCACTTACGGCCCCACATTACAAACCAACAACTAATAACTTTTAACTTATTTTTTGGTACTAGGGATTAAACCTAGGATGCTCTACCACAGAGCTATATTCCCAGCCCTTTTGATTTTTTTTTTTTTTTACTTTTTAATAGGATTCCCCTAAATTGCTGAGGCTGGCCTCAATCTTACAGCCCTCCTGTCTCAGCCTCCCAAATCACTGGGATTAGAGGTGTGTTCCATAGTGTCTGGCTACATATTTTATGCAGTATTTTTTAAAGAACAAGTTACAAAAGGCTGGTAGTTAATTTTACGCAACAACAACCTCCAGCAACCCCTTACCCATTTTCGAAATGGGGTCAGTATAAGTTGCCCAGGCTAACCTCAAACCTGTGTGCTCATGCCTCAGTCTTCCAAGTAGCAGAGATTACAGGTATGTGACACCATGTCCAGCTCCAGTTCCCTGTTACAGTTTCATATGCACAAAATCATAAAGTCTGTACCCCTTCATGTGTGGTTTCTTTTATTCAGAATAATGTTCTTGTGCTCGCTTCAGCAGACATACTAAAATTGGAACGATACAGAGAAGATTAGCACGGCCCCTGTGCAAGGATGACACGCAAATTCGTGATGCATTCCATATTAAAAGAAATGAAAAAATATAATTAAAAAAACAGAATAATGCTCTTGAAATTCATCCATTTGTGTGTATATGTGTGTGGTTAGCAACAGTCTATTCCTTTTTTGTTGTACAGTAGTATTCCATGGTGTGGCTACACCACAATGATTTATCCACTCATTTTTTGATGGACAGTTGAGCAGTTGAGTTGTTTGTAGTATTTGTCTCTTATAAAGTTGTTATAAACTTTTGCATACCAAAAAAAAAAAAAAAAAAAACTCCAGAGTATGCCAAAGCACTAGAACCAATTTACTCCATTTTCATACATCTTCTATACCTTTCATTCTCCGCAATAATACATAGAATCATAATCCTAATAGCTTTTAAAACATCAAGAAAAGTTTTAAAGTATACTAACAAAAATTCACTGATAAATATTTCATTATATTCTACTGTTAAAATCAGATTAATTAAAACAAAGTTTCAGTTAAATATCTCCTGTCCTAATTTTTATACACAGATTTTATTGTTGGTTTAAAAAAAGAGACAGAGATGTGTCAGAGGTTGAGCGGATTAATATTAAACAAATAAATTTCAAGTATACCATGAAAATTTTTTTGCAACATGCTATAGGAGAAACATTAAAAGCATGACATTCAAATAGAGACAAAGACAGAAGGAAAAAATTATAATAAGATATTAAATATATCTGTGTGCATATATATGCGTTTACATATATATATATGTGCATATCTATGTGAGATATACATATTTATTCCTCATCCCTGTATGAAAAATGAAAAAACAAAAATATAACTAGCAAGTCTTATAAATAATTCAATTACATTTAGAATATAAATAGTAAAAAATGAAGCCAAAGAGTTACAAATGAGAACTATATAACTGGGTCTGTTTTCAATTCATACTAATCTAATATCTTTCACAGGTTTCAAAGTTCAATGTACATATTAGTTTGCTCAACTGAGTAATTTTCCCTTTCAGCCTAACTTAAAAGAGCTCTAATGAATAACTCAGGTGGTTTCTCATTTCTGAAAAGGTTTCAATTAAAGGTATATTTTGAAAATGCAAAACTGAAGTTTCATATAAACACTTATAATTGCTGTTACCATGTCACTGTACTTAGTATTCCCACCTAGGTTTGAAAAAAAAAAAAAAAAAGTAAACTGATATTAGCTACAAAAAAAAAAGATAGATACATTCCATACTGAGCTACAAAAAATAGCACATAATTTTGAGTAAGAGGACCTAAATGCCACTCCTGGCTCCACCACTTGTTACATGATTCTAAACAAACTATTTTAACTTTCTCAACCTGTTTTTTCATCTAGTTAATGTAGATAATATCACTACTGCAATGCTGAGATGTAAAGGAACCAGGAACAAATTCAAATTTTCTAAGCACAGGCAATGCTTGCTGTGCATGACTAACATAAAGGCAGGATAATCTTTCATGCCACAAATCATCATTGTATATTTTGAGATATAACATGAATTAAATCATCCTCTAAAACCTGCAGATCTAAGTAGTTAGAACTAATACAGTAAAAAAGAAGTCCCACACTACTAATTTTTTAGTAACCAATATTTAGTGAAATTTTACATCTAAAATATTTCAAAATAGTACCATTCACAAGGCTTAGAAGTTTTCTTTTTGTTTTTTGCTTTTTTTTTAAGGTCAGAAAAAAGCTAAGGTGAAGTAAAAAGTCTTCTTCAAGTAACAATAACCTTTCAGTTTACTAACAATATTCAGACAAGGAAGTAGCATGTTTTAAAACCTATCAAAAGAGATGAAAACTACTAAATGAAAAGCAGCTGAGGCTGGAGTTGTGGCTCATTGGTAGAAAGCTTACCTAGCACATGCAAGGTACTGGGTTAAATTCTCAGCACCAATAAAAATATCATGTCCACCCATAACCAAAAATATTTTTTAAAAAAAGAAAAAGAATAGCGGCTGAGCAAAATGGTCATCACTCTGTGCTCAAGAGCCAGAAGATGAGATTCTAGTTTCAACTATGTCACTAATAATCTTTTAACCTTGGATGAGTCTCTAGGCTTCAGTTTCCTAATCCATAAAAATGAATACTGAAAACTGTAAATGAAACCCAAGGATAATTTAATCTAGATCTTTCTTTGAAGAGGCGATCCAGAGTAGTGATTAACAGAATGGCTCTGTAGTAAATGCCAAGGTTAAAACCCTGAGTCTGCCACTTACAAACTTGTGAAGGCACACACACAAAACACTAACATACATCTTGCTACTGTCATTTAATTACTGTTTAAAATACTTTGCTCAAACAAAATTATAGTAAATACACAAACTTCAGAAGTCCAATTTTCACAAATCAAGACACCACTACTAGTCAGATACCACTTTCATGTGAAAGTAATAAAAAATCTTTAAAACATTCAGCCAAGTTCTATCAAAAGATGGCCTTATAAAACATTATGTATTAGAGACACCTATGAAAACTTATAAGGATAACTATTCTCATCAAAATGTCACATTAAAGGTAAACACAGAACTTATGTGTGTTCTTTCTTTCTTTCTGCTGTCACATGGGGATAGAAACCAAGGCCTGCACATGCTAGGCAAGTGCTCTGCCACTGAGCTGCATCCCCAGCTATTTTTGAGAAAATGTCTTACAAAAGTTGCTCAGGCTGGTTCATAACTTGGCATCCTCCTGCCTCATCCTCCCAAGCAGCTGTGATTATAAGCATATGTCGCAGTGCCCAGCTTACAAACTTTCATTTTTTAATCTGCTAACGACAACAGAAATTCATGATGTAGTCACAGTTTCCAACAATGAAATTACTACAGAAATGAAAAACCTGTAGAATATGGAAATATAAAGTGAACTTCTAACTTCTAAAAATAAGTAGTTACAATCAAGTAGTATTTACCGAAGACATCAAATGCCAGGATTTGTACATAGATTAAATACAAACACCAAAGTATGGCATTTCTCCGAGTTCATCAAGTTCCAAGGACAAAGTAAGGTAAGTATCCTTTATCATCACTTTCACACCATAAAAGCCACTCATCTATAAATGTTTTTATTTCCTTCTTGGTGCATGTAGGACTACTTCCCATTGTCCATTAAAACTGCTTCCTATCTTAGACTCAGTCCACAAAGATGCCTAAAATAGTCCCTGATATGGGGATCCTCACAGTACTTAAAGGGTACAGATTCTAAGAAAAACCTTATCAAATCCACAAACTTCAGTATTTTATAGTCCGTGATGGTAATACCTGCATGTACTATACATAACTGGGCTAACTTCAGTCAAGGACCTAGCTGCACCAATTCAATTTCTCCCTCTTAAAGTACTGCTAGTAAAGGCAAACTACTTCTTCAAAAAGTCTGTTTTGTGCAATGGACAGTAGGCATTAGAAAAGGGGAATTGATTCGCTCATCACTGTTGCCCTACTTCCATTTCATGTCCAAGGAGAAAACCATTCCAGAGTAGCAAGGGGACCATATACACAAATCAAGAAGGTAGATGCTACATTGAACTTTGCGCTTACCACAATTTAAGCGAACGGTGACGGGATGTGGGGAAAGAAGAGGGATGGTAAACTAAGCTATCCCAGTGTAGCTTAATGGAAAACGTCCACTTCATGAAGCGATCAAAGTAAGGGATGGGAAACAAACGGATCTAGCCGAGCGGCAAACCCAGGATGCTGACTGAGCTCGGAGGTGGAGGGCCTGGAGCCCATGGACCCGAGAAGAGGAACCTCGGACAAATCTTAGGGCCAACGAAAACCAGCAGCAACGCACAGGGGCCAACGCTGCCACGGACCAGCATGTAAGGGGACACCATGAAGGGAGCGATTAGTTAGGACGTAGCGACAGCAGGCGGGAGCCCAGTGCCAGGGGCGACTTGGCAAGTAGCAATTGCGAAAGGCGAGGCACCGGCAGCCGAAGGTGGTGGGACTCTGTTGAGTCAGCACAGCTTCTACTCTGGGGGCACTTGTAGGATCCCCGCAGCTCCTCAGGCCCCCGGCGGGGGGTCGGGCCCGCGGGCCAGAGAAATGATGTTCCCTGACGGGCTGGCGCCGGCCCCTTCCCCATTTCACAGGTAAACACTGGCCGCCGTCGCCGCTTACCTCTGTTAACATTATTACACCCCGGGGAAGTGAGGTCCTCCCTAGCCTCGCCGCATGGCAACAGCCGTAGCAGTAGCGAAAACTGCCCGGGCCGCCGCCAACGGCGGCAACTGCTCCTTCAGTCCTCTCCCAGGCGGCGGCTTTACTCGGCTTCGCTGGCTTCCCCCCGGCCCGGCTGCTCGCGACGGACGCGCCGCCATCTTGGAAGAGCGACGTCCGCGTATCCCCGCGACGTGCGCTCCCATTGGCGGGCGCAGGAGCCGCCGGCGTCTCGTGACCGTCTCCATAGCGCCGGCGCGCGGAGGAATGGAGGCGGACGCGGGGTTGTCCCCTTGCCGCCGGCTGCGAACTTCCCCCGGCTAGGTGCCCCGGGCAACTCGGGATTGCTGCGAGTGGAGAGAAACCCCTGCCTCGGGGTCGCAGGGAATCTGGAATGCTTGCCCGCGGAGTTCGTTCGTCCTTCCCCAAACGCCTGAGTTGGCCAGCCCTGGGGAGGAGCGAGAATGGCAGAAGCCCAGACTTTGACTGATGGCGCTGCGAATCTCCAGCGTCACGGGGACCAGGAGACTGATTTCCTGTAGAAAAACTTCCATCTCGCATCTCCTGGCCCGGCGGCGATCGAAGAACAAGTTGGGGTAGTCGGCTTCCTTCACTGTCTAGGCTTAAAGCGTGGTCTGAAACGCTCCCCGCGCGGTTCCTTTCTCCAAAACTTTGACAAACTTTCCTTTGTCTCTATCAGTCCCCAGTGAGTTCTTTACCAGGGTGCGCTACATGTTGTAGATGTGATATGGGCATATCGGCTTTAGCTTTGCTCTTGGGGATTTGGTGATTGGACAGCACCTTGCATAATCAGAAGAGCTTGGTTTTCTTCAAGTAGGAGATCTTTAACATATATCTAA